TTGGAAAAAATATTTTCGTAATGTCACTATAGAGCCGTGAAGGTGTATTGCTAATTATAGGAATATTAGTTGTAGATATGTGTCATCATAATGGAAAGAAAATCAGTTACCTTTCGCAAACCTGATCAATAGCCCATCTCATCAAAGCCTATTACATCTATATGTTTCATCATTATCGCTTCCCTTAGGTTTTTCAATTTTGGTGTTTCAACACGAAAGAAAGCAGCGCCATCGGCAGGGGTGGGAAACAGACGAAACAGCGGCTGTCATCGAACCAGCAGTAACGTGGACATTACTTTAAATACTCTTCAATTGAGTGGCGAACATCCGTTCACGGGAAAACATTCTCAAAGCACAAGTGACCTGCAAGATATGCAAAAAATTTCGGCCTTGAATAGGTTAGTTATTTAGCCTTTAGAATGAAAAATTAAAATTGTCACTTTTAAACATTAATGAATTCTTTTTAATCTTATCATCATGTATTTTATATTATTCATCTTTAGAGATGCTACTCATCATGCATCTGACTATCATTGTTAATTCTAGCTCTATAATAGATATCCAAAAAGCACGAGAAAAATTTAAAAATAAACTTATCTACACATACGATAAATATTCATATATGTACATAAGAAAAATATGAGATTTTAATGGGATTCCAGAAATGTTTACAAATATATATATATTTTATCAAATATAAATTCTTCATTTCATTAGAAAATCCCCCCAGTTGCACAGCGGTATGTCTGCGGACTTATAACGCTAGAATCCGGGTTTCGATATCCGTGGTGGGCAGAGCACAGATAGCCTATTGTGTAGTTTTGTGCTTAATTACAAACAAACAAACATTAGAAAATTCAAAACTATTTTAATAGTTTGTTCTTCATCAGTATATTGTTTCGGGAACTTACTCAAGAAACTAATTCGTGATTATAAATGTCTATATGAAAAACTAATAAATTAACCGGGCAAAGTTTTTTATATATTTGGGGATTTCCATGAAACACGTGGATGACTATCTGACAGCCCTATCTTTAAACATTTCTCTTGTGTTATTATATTATTTTTTGTTGTGAACATAGAAAATCCACTATATACTTTAAATAAAAGTCCAGAGATATAGCTTTCGAATGGATTATATGTTTTTATTTTTTGTTTAACGTAATTGCAACTTCCGGCCAATTGTGTGGCCATCAACAGGTAACTGTCGTCTATTGTGTGAAATAGTAAAAAAATACTGTGCGAACATTTTGTTCCAATTTAGAAAACATATTGAGTGACACCTGTGTTTTGATTTAAATTAGGTTTTAGTTTACAAATAATCTTTTATTTTCCTTCTATTAATGATGTTCTCATTGCATAACATTTTAAAGTTGTTAATATTAATTGGATGTTGATTCATTATGCTGTGTTCATGAATGTATGATGGAGAATGTTATATTCTTTGATCCTGATTCTTACGTTGCGTCTCGTTTCGCCTATGTAAGTGATATCGCATCGATCACATTGATACTTATAGATGCTTCCGTTGTTGAAGTGGTCGGAATATACCTTCCTTAGATGACCTTTATTTGTAGTGCTCAGTTTTATTTATAAGAACTTTTCTATTGCCTTTAGTATAACTGTCTTATAACCATTTGACTGTTCATATATCATAGATGGCAGCAGTGAAGCTGGTCTGATCGTACTTTGCGCCAACGAACGTAAAAACATCGTTATGAGAATTGATCGCAACAATATTATGAAGTTATAATTATCTATGGAATGTGTATAAGATTCAAGAACCTTTAGAAAGATATGATATTTTGTCAAAATGCAGTTCTGTCGTCAGTGCATATTTAACTATCAAATTGAAATAGACTATTAGATCATGAACCAGCGGACAAAACATTAAAAAATTACAGCGATAGTGCTGGCCTCCATAGCTGTTTATCAAACTCCAGCACATACTCCCGGCCATACTGTCTTCTGCTAATTTAATTAGTCTCCGCCTCCTTTATTTAGATATGATGATACAAGAAGTGGTTTCCCTTATCTAAGAAAGATGCAGTTTAACTAGAACTGAATTCACTTATTCAACCAGAACTAACCTAGGTTGTTTATGTAGAAAAAATGAACTAGCTTTTTAGTTGTTTCATTGATTTCGTTAGGCTCGAACTTCTCTATTTTCCCGTTGCACTATCTTATATTGGTTTACTTTAATAATGTTCATACCAATGGTTGTCTTTGATCTAGGAATGCCGTCTGACAAATATGATATTTTATAAGAACCCGTTTGAAAAACTTAGGATGTGCCTTGTTTAAGTCTTCCCATTATGAGAGCAATTAAACTTGCCTTGTGGTTACAAAAGTGATAATAAATTTTAAAAGTCTTAGATTAGTTTTGACTTAAGTGTTTATCGACTTAGGGATTTCTCTTGAGCGAGCAAAGTAGTCTAATCAATAACAGTTTTTAACGACGATTAGCGAATATAATTCACAGTAAAACTTCAGATTGATGTACCATGTATACTTAGTTTCACTTGAACTGAATTTAGATAGAATATTTATTTTTCAAACACCACAACAATAATAAATTAATTCTAGATAACAAGTTTAGTAGAATATTCGGGCAATGGTTAATTATTCTTCACTTACTTTAAAAGTATGCTTATTATTTGTTTTGTGCTATCCAATGTTAATTAGGTGTAGATATACTTCAGTTACGTTATTAGCCAAATAATTTTCAATATGATGCTTTCTGTTGCTATAACAATAAAATATCCAAACATTTAGTTTCAGAAGATTTTAATTACTTTTTGTTTATCGTCAGACTTTCTTCGTCATCAGAATCACAGGATCGTGTAAATAATGTTGGGCGTAACGCCCTCTTAATTCCTCGAGGAGCTCATCGGATGGGATATTTTAGTAGTTCACTGGATGGAACAAATAGAAATATAACCTTAACAGTTCCTCAACCCACCCAAAATTTGGTTGCACCATGGGAGACGGAAAGCTGAGACTTGAAGGATTTTTTTTTATTGATAAACACTATAATATGTATTACTCCAATGTGTGTGATCAGTTCCCTATAAATTATGTGTTCAAAATGTTTTGTTTACTATTGTAATGACACTGAAAATTGTAAATGTTTTATAACTTTTTTTATCCTTGTAGTCAAAGTGATTTTCAGGCTTGTATATATATACAAATTCAGGTGAATTATCTATTGTTGTTTCTATTGTCTGGGTAAGAACATTTATAGAGAATAAAATAAAATAAAAATTTACGGACGAGTTGTGATAGTTGGATTTATTTTATGCGAAAAAATATATACAGCAAATAAATCAAGTGTGGCTTAACTTTTATTTCCATTTTACTCAGTTATTATCAGCAATTAAATAGGATGAACTTATAGAACCGTTTAAAAAGAGAAGGATTTGATACTTTCATAGAGACCAAAAGGTTTCGTAAAAAAATATAATCCAACAAAATTAAGTATAAAAACGTAAAAGATTTTAATCTTTAATTGGTATATATTAGATATAAACTTGAAATATTTTCAATATAAGTTGTTTGACTAGCATAAATGTTCACTAAATATTGCACATATAGTGTTAAACAACAGATGTATGATAGGGTTGGTTGGTTTCTTTGTAGATAAGAGCAGAGCTACATAATTGGGGGGGGGGGGCAATGATACGGTCCAATGCATTCCTAAACACTGCAGCATGGAATCAGTTACCAATCAAAAACAATGAACGTCGTTGTAACTGCAATAAAGCAGCTTTTAGTTATACACCGTGTAACTGAACTCTTAGCTCAGGTCTTTATTTCATTCAACATAGTACCATGTTTCAGTGGTATCATTATCGTCTTCTGTGCTGTTGTCATCGTCACTGAGTTCAAGTGGAAATACATTTTTATAAATCGTTTGTAATTGGCAGTGGATGGCAGATCATATTAATGTTTCTAAGGTTTATCTAAGTATTTGTAATCATTATTATTTTGTGATTGGATGAATATACCGCCTTCAGTTAGGCGTTTCGTCTTGGTTTGGTCTAGTTATACTTCAAATAGTTGTGAAGCATAATGCTTGAAATGGCTTGGGATTACTGGTCTCAAGGTGCTCAATGAACAATTAACGGTGGTGGCTTTAGGAGAGTTTGTTAGCTTAGCCGTTACATGAAATCAGTGACATCGTTCACAAAATGTTCAGTTGGTAGAGCGTCTCCGACCCTGAACTCGCTCATTGCCACCATCATTCAATAACTCTGCTGCACATCATTCCCAATCCCAAAGGGAAAACAAACAAAAGAAATTTCCAAATTATAATCTAATTCCAAAGGAAATTCCCCGTCGCTTTTGTTTGCACTTACTTCCTGAAATAAATATAATAAGAATATAAACATATTCATGATAGTTGTTGTTTATATTTAAAATTGAACTATTAAACGTAAGGTTGTATCCAAGAGCTTTACAAAGAACACAATATTTTGTTACTAAAAAAGACACGGTGTTGATAAATCCATTTTTAGTTACCAATCTGAAACTTTCTTGTTATTTAAATAAAAATAATTCTCAGTAATTTGTAGAAATGGAAAATTACTATTGTAAATTCGTATAAAGTACCGTTCTAACGTGTAAATTTGTAAGCCAGGTTTCCATTTAATTTAGTAATTAGGGAACTTGACTTCTTTATGAATTAAATTATCTAGTAAGATGCATCAGAAGTCTAGTAAACGTAATTATATTTTATTCCGGTTTACTGATGTCCAGCCAGAAAATTTCAAAGAAAATGAAGATTCAGGACGATTGGGTAGAAACTAAACCAAACTCAAACAACTAGGGAGAAAATCACAAATGAGAAAATAAACAAATTTGTCAATGTGTCATCAGACATATTTCACTTACTTGTGTGGTACGGGACAGTACCATGTGTTTTCTACTCCCTTAATACGTATTTCTCTCTAACTTTATTGTCACGTTCCTCCAATATCTCTTTATATTTCTGGTCATGTTCTGTTTCACTTGACTATCTTTTTGAAATTTTTGGTTGCATTTTTCGTTCCACCAATCATTTATTCTCTCTCTCTCATATATCACCAGGGCCAAGCTGACCCACTGGTTAGTGTATCAGACTATGGAGCTGAGCTTCCATGGTTACTTAAAAAAAACATTTTCAGCTTTTTGGGACTGTGGGTGCATAATAAGAATGAAGATCAAATCCCACTGTACGTTCTGACAAGATTACCACAAGAATTGGTGTTGGTGGCTAGCTGCTGACACTTTAGTTTATCACTTCAAAATTAGGAACTTCTAAATGAAGATAGATGTAATTATGCACAACATCCACAAACGCATATTCAGCACCGTTTGAAAATCCTGGTTATGGTCTTCCCTTTTTTTCTCATGCTTTTTTGTCTTTGATTTAAATCTTTTTATTTCTTAATTGAAAGATCCCTATAAGATTCTCAATCTCTGTAGGATTTTTCAAACCAAAAGCTATTTCACTTTTTAATTCATTTATAGACATTAAATGCTATGTAATATCAATTAGATTAATATGTGTGGGTGATATGCACAAAATTTTGCATCATTTTCAAATAGCATAAATTTAGTAAGTTTATTTCTAGTATAAGTGTTCATACATCATGTTATGCCTTTATTACTTAAAATTTCTCTATGTTAAATCATTTTAATGTAACTTCGACAAAATTATCGCTCTCTTTCTGTAAAGGCCTAAAAGTTAACATGTCAGACAACGTAACACAGAGTCCAAGGTTTAAGATGTGATATTGTACTTTCACCTGGGGGATTTTAAAAAGGTGACAGTCAATCCTATTATTTGTTTCAGAAGAGCAAGATAAGGTCCTTGTGACAGTGAATGTTTATTAGTTGAAACTTAGGGTCAATTAGCTTCAACATTATTTTTTAAAAAAATTGTCCAGACGTAAAATATCGGTACTTATAACTCAGTTCCATTTTTAGTTAACTAGGCACATATCGTTTTTTATTTAAAGAAAAACACAGTACTGAATAGTGACCTTTAGACATATCTCAAAAAGCGACAAGAAAAACTGTCATGTCTTGGTTATGCGCCTTGATATCGAGAATGTGCACTACAAAGATAGCTTTAACACAATTGCCATTAAAAAATTGCAGCAGCTGTGATATCTTACGGATTAACCGCCGAGTAGAAAGTTAGACCCACTAACAACTGGAAGTTCTCAGATTTCGGCATCAGGATGTACTCTCCATCGTTTATCGACGATAGATCATGAGAAAAAAGACAAGACACAAACCTATACAAAACACAACTGAATAATTCTCATAATTGGAAAAACAAGAGCAAGTGATCGAGTGCACTTTATAAAAATAAAAAGTGACTAATAGAGAAAAACAACGAAAAATCAGTAATACGAACATATTAAAAAATGTATAATTTAAATGATGACTGCATGTTCAGAGT